GTCAAGTGAAATAAACCAGACGCACACTGACCAATTTTTCTGTAAGCCTGAAAACAATAAAGTATATTAATTTTTTAATTGACCACATGATGCACTTAAAGAACAACCCAGCAAAGACAGTGAATGGTCCTGTTACTGTTTTTAGGGGAATAAATATTCCAGAATACTCGTGGTGCCTGGGGGAGGTACGCTTCCTTGTAGCCCACCAGCTTTGGAGTGTCACGTGCCAACGGCATTGCAAGAGACACGGATTACGCCTCTCAGTGTCTAGATGACAAATATACGAAAAAACACAGACCGAAGGGTGAGCAGAGGGCTCTTGACTGCACAAGGGTGGGTGCTCCCTGAGACACCCGCACCCCACACCCACATACACGTTGTTCTAAAATACACACGGGACACTTTCCAAGATTACCTACCTGCTGAAACGGAAAGGAAATTTCAACTCTATCCAATAAAGCTACTATCTCAGAACATTGTGCTTGCACCACAATGCAATAAAATTAGGAAGGAGGGAAGAAAACTTGAAATGTACGCCTATGTCTGCATATTTACCCAAGATTTACCTCTTCTCAGAGCTGCTCCCCGCCATGGAACCTGCTAGGAGCTCAGCCTGGCCCGTGCTGCTCTCAGAGGCTGCAGAGGGGCGCAGAGAAGGGGCGCAGAGAAGGGGCGCAGCTCGGGGCAAGGGAGGGAGGCCGAGCCACAGACACTGTCCTAGTGGAGTGGGGTGGGTGGGCCGGAGAGGGCCCAAGCTGCCACGCCCTGCTGGTGACCAGGAGCTGGCCGGCATTTTTGATGGAAACTGTGAGGGCTCCTCCTCCTGTCCCTCTGCTCCCCACACTGCTCAGGATGGTGTTTCCTACTCTAGGCCTTGTGTGTGCCACAGCACAGCACTTTGGGGAGACCCTGGCTCTACTGGCGCACACTGCTAGCTCTGGACACCCCACCTGGGGACCAGCAGGTGGAGCAGACCCTGAAGATCTGCTCCAGGGGCCACAGGCTGCAGTCATCGGAGCTCAGGAAGTGGTCAGTACCAGGGGCCATCTCATGCATGTCCCTAAGGGGGCCACAAGCCAGCGGGGGCACTGTATGAGCTCCCTCCCCCAGAAGGCCCTGCTGCATGGGTGAAACCACAGCAGAGGACCCCTTTGCAGCTCCACGGCTGAGATGCCTGGAACAGGTAAAGCCAGAGGCAGCCACAGCCAATGCCAGCCTAGGGAGGGACGGCCTATCCCAGGGACAGAAACATCTGGAACTGGCTGAGGTGATGGTGACACCTGTGAACACATGTAAGATAATTTTTTTTTAATTATATGTTTGGTACAGGGTCTTACTACGCAGCTCGCAGTGATCTCTCAAAGTGATCGTTCTGTTTTCAGCCTCCCCGGCACTGGGATTACAGGCGTGCACCACCACACCCGGTCTTGGTGGCCGATGGAGCACGCCTGGGGCGGGGCTGGTGCAGCTTGTGGTGCCAGAGATCAAGGCCTGGTCTCTGCGCTTGCCTAAGCAGGTGCATAGTTGGCTGAGCTATCTTACTGGACCTGTATGAAACATTTTTGAACATCACATTGTATGTGGCTGAATTACACATTCTGTGGATTGTGTCTTAATGAAGCCAATCTTTAAAAAGTAACAAAATTGGGGCTGGGGAGATGGCTCAGTGGAATGAGTGCTTCCCTGGCAAACGCAAGGGCCTGAGTTCAATCCCTGGTTCTAGAAAAAAAAAAAAAAAGTAACAAATTCCTCTCATCACCCAGGAAGTGGCTGGTGGGTGCCTGGGTGGGGACACAGGAGCGGGTGGGGTGGGGAAGCAGTAAACTGCCAGGTTCACACAAATGTCAGAGGCAGCAGTGAGGAAAATAGGGGCCACAGGAACTGCGTTCTATGGGGTCCAGGGGCAACCAACTACTGCCCAGAGTGCCAAGGATGGAAAGGACTCTCCCAAGAACTGTGGGCACTCTGAGGGCAGGCACCAGGCATCTGGTACAAGGTTATGGGAGACAGGTGTTAGGAGGCTCCCCTAAAATGGAGGTCTCCTTATGAGGCGGCCCCCCTAAATCAAGCTAAGTAGCAGTGCAGCCTACGCTGAGGCCAAGCCCCATCACTGGGCACCCCACAAATAACAGGGGAAGATTGGACAGTCTCACATAAAACCTCAGGTCCCGTTTAGCCCCAGACAACAGCAGAGCAACGGGGTGCTCCTGGGCCCCACGTGTTGCAGAAGCTGTCCAGGATCTGCCCTCCTGTCCCTCTCAGGAAGCTCAGCTTGCCCGTGGATTCAGCTGCGCCAGAAGGCAACAGCTCTGCCAGCTTTTCAACATTTCAAGGTTGGGAAAGACCACAAGGAAAAATAACCCCAAAACAAGTTTAGAGATGTAAAACAGAATCAATAAGAACATAAAGGAAAGTAAAACTAATGGCCTTTAGGAATCCTCAGCGTCTGTGTTTACCTTGCCCATGTCAGGCACTGGTCACGCGCTGGTCAGCGTGGCTGGCCATGACAGACAGCGCAGCAGTGAGGAGTTCCCTGCGCTGCGGGACAACGCGCTCGGTGTTTTCCTTGGGCGGGGGCTCTGAACGAGCGCAGCGAACAGGCTCGATCATGCCAGGCTGGGTGGGGCTGAGGTGGGCAGCGTGGTCCTCCAGGGCCTGCTCCCGCACCTGCTGGCTGCTCAGAGTCCCCTCTGATGAAGCTATTGCCCCCCCTTTCTACAAACACGGTCACCAAAACCCAGGAGCTCCTCCCAGGGAGCTCACCTGAGCCGGGGGCAGTCGCCTCAGCCGGATGGGACTACGCTGAGGTCGCACGTGACTGGCCACAGGAGAGGCCAGGCGGGCTCAGGTCTAGAAAGGCTCAAAGATACAACATCCACTTTACAGATGCTGAAATGGGGGCCCGGAGGAGCCCAGCAACCGGCCAGTAGGCCCCTTCCTCAGTGCAGAGTTGTTTCACACGCTCACTTCCAAGGCCGGACAAGGGCTCTGGTCCTCAGCGGCAGCCAGAGCCCTCAGCCTCGCCGGCGCCCTGCCCACCTAGCTCAAGTGGGAAGCAGAATCCCAGAGGATCCGAGAAAGTGCGGCTCCATCGCCAAGCCCTCTAGGGCGCAATCTCCCCAAATGCCAGTAGGTGGCAGCATCCGCCTGAAAACGCTGGTGCAGCTTGGGTTTAGATTCAGCAGAATTTCAGCTGGTCGTCCAGCCTAGGGCCTGAAGGTGGCCTTTCACTGGTGTCCCTCAGTGTGTCCTTCAGTAGCCCGCTCGGAGACCCGCACTTGTCCCCTGTGCCTTGCCTCTGGCCTTTCTGAGCCCAGCTGGAGGACAGAAGGAAGAGTTCTTGACTAACCGGCCCAATGCTACACTTCTGGCTGGGGAGCACAGACACCCCAAGCCCAGGCCTGACTTCGGAACCCCCCACAGCCATGGCTGGGAACCCATCTCCGGGCAAAGGCTTGCACACCTATCTCACCAGCTCCTCCTCAGGGTCCTCCAGGGCCCTCACCTCAGGCCAGCCCACATCCCCCACCCGCAGACCTGATGGGGGATGCCACCGGAACTGACACCCCCCCCTCACCACGCACCGGTGCACTTCCACCGCGGCAGGCTCTGGAGCCCTGGCCTTACCCCTATGGAGAGACTGACAAAGGGGTTCTGGGGCTGCGTCACCTTGAAGGAGGAGCAGCCCCGCTCCTCACCATCTCTGACAGGTCTGGGACGCTCTCGGCCCACCCCCTTTCCCTGGCTAAAATGCAGGGGTCTGGGGCCTGTTCACCCACATTAGGAACCCCGGCTGTCCTGGCGCCTGGGGACCCCACACAAGTCCGGATCGTCCCAGTCTCCAGGGCCCAGCACCTTGCCCTCTGGGAGCTGCGGCCAGGGGCAGCTCAGAATCGCTCCACCGCGCAGGCCCAGGCAGCACCCTCGGTCGGAAGCCACCTGCTGGTCCTGGGCGGGGCGCCTTGGCTGGGGCTGAGGCCGGGGTGAGACGAGCCCCGCTGCCCTCTCCCCTCCGGGAGCCCGGCGGAGCCCGGCCGCTCGCGCCGCCCCCCGCCCAGCTCGGGTTCCGCTCTCCGGCGGCGGCGCTGCTGGCTCCTCCCCGCCCGCGAAGAGCTGACAACTCCTGCAGGTACGACGCGGAAACGCTCTGCTCTGCCGGGACTCCAGGAACGGAAACCCGAGCCCGCTTCTCCCAAGCAAGCAGGCTGACCCCGCCCGGCTCCCTGCCCAGTCTCTCCTGACGTCCCACCGACCGCCTGCCCCGAGACCGCGCGTCGGGCTGCAGGTCCGGGAAGCGCCGCGCGCCACAGGTCGGCTCGGCCCGCGCGGTCTCCGGGGCGCAGGAGCTCGGCCCTCGGGGACGAGCCAAGGCTCGAGGAGGTGCCTGGTGCGCGTGCGGCCTCCTGTGGATGGGGGCGCGGGGTAGAGGCCACGGAGCAGCGTGGGGTGGCTGGGGCGGGAACGGCCGCGCGGCAGGAGGCGGCTGTAGGGTCGCCAGGCAGGGAGCGCCCGGACCCCGCCGCCTGCGGGCCTCGGCAGAGGCGGCCACCCCGGCCCGCTGATTGGACGGCGCGGAGCCCCAGCTGGCTCCTCGCCGCTTAAAACCGAGCGGGCGAACCGG